GGTAACTTAGCTTAAACCCTAAACCCTAAATCCTAAATCCTAAACCCTACACCCTAAACCCTAAACCCTCAAACCCCAAACCCTACAACCCTAACACCCTCAGGAGCCGGACCACGAGGAGGTGCAACCGGGAAAGCTTCAGGACCTGGTGCTCACCCCGGCGAAAGCCCCCGCGAGTGCCATTCTCAAGGGTGTCGAGACGACCCCCTCCATCCTGCAAGGAGTCGATGCCAACTCCCCGGTGCCACGGCTGCTGCGAGCAGATACCGGATCGGCCACGTCCTCTGCCTCGGAAGCAGAGTCCGCGATGATGTCGGTGGTGCAGCTTTTGCAGACTCAGCTTGCTGAGCAATCCAAGCAGAATGCACGACTGCATGCTCTGATGGAAGAGCAGGCTGTGGAGTTGGCCAAGCTTCGGGCCGAAAAGAGCAGTCCTGCAGAGGGCCCTGAGGAAACTCGGGAAGCTTCTGCTGAGAGCTCCGGTGTGAGCTTTGAGGCCGCACGGCAGCGAGTTCGCCGATTGGTGAAGGTCCGAGCCGATGGTACGTGTGCTGTGCCACAGCATGTGGTGGACCAGTGGAACAAGCAGGGCACATCCCGAGAGCAGCTCATCCGTGTCTTCATGGAGCAAGGCTGCGACAAGGACCCCAAACCCCGACCTTTGTTGATAAGCCCATGATTTGTCCCTGAGGTTTATAGTTTTCTTGCAGGGGCTTCAAGGGCTTATAGGACCTCTAGGGTTAGAGGGTCTAGGGTTTATCACGGTTCCTTGTCCTCCGGTCCTCCTGTGTGTAAACCCTAAACCCCTAAACCCCTGTAGACCCTAGAAGCCCTATAAACCCCTAAACCCTAAACCGATATATAGACCCTTAACCCTAAAAGCCTTAAGCCGTGCCAGGAAAGCTTCGTGAGGAAGATCACGATGCTGAACGAGCGAGAGAAGGAGTTGAGCATCGTTGTGGAGGGAGACTACTATACGGAGTCACAGTTGAGAGAGGAGAAGAACCTTTCTTCGCCCCTTGCATGAAGTGAAACTAAACCAATGCACATCCTATCCCCTATCTATCCAATCATTCGTCCATGTCACTGACTGACACTTAACCAAGGAACACCCTAGCCCCTACCTATCCAATGCTATTCTGTTTCTTCAGGGACCGGATCGCCGAGATCAAGAACTTCGCGAAGACTCACCCCAACATGATGCGGTTTCTTGCCATGAACTTGGATTGGACGGTTTTTTTTGCAGGCTTTTGTGCTTCCCTTCCAATGCTTATACTACCTAAGGAGGGATGTGTACAACCCGAACATGATCAAGTACTTCTATGAGGAGCGAGCCCATGCCACCATGCGAGCATCCGCCTTGCTGCGGTCCAGGGACGAAACGTCCTTCAACTCGGAGGTCGAGCGGGGCGAGGATGGATCTCTTGCGATTGGCCAGGATGTAAGCCTCGGTGATCTGGGTGATGCTTCGATGGTAGGGGGGAGTGCTGCCGGAGACCTTGATGAATAGCTCGCTAGCTGTTGATGTTGTTTCTCGCTTCTTGTGTCTTCACCTGCACTGTGCTTCAGCTCATCTTTTCTTCCAAGGATCTGGGTCTATGGTTTCGGGTGGTGCTGCTGAGACAGAGGGCCAACTTCAGCTTCCGAGCCTGGAGGGTGGCAAAAAGGCATCCTCTTTGATCAATCCGTACATGCAGGCGGCCCTCCAGAGAGCCACCAAGCTCGGGGATGCATTGGCTAAGCTACGTGCTGTTCCCCCATCGGAGCAAACTGATGCCATCAAGAAGCCCCTCCTCTGCAAAACTCCCAAACTAATTCCAAAAGAGTGTAAATACCCTCAAACCCAGAAAGCGCCAAATCTCTAACCCAACACCCGAAACCCCTAAAACCCAGTAACATCAATGTCCACGCCTAACTAGGAATTAAGACCACATTCATACCCGAAGTCCCTGGCAAACTCCCAAAGTAGTCCCAAAAGACTCTCAGACCCGGAAGCCTAGAAACCCGAAAACCTCTAACCCAAGCTCCTATCTCAAACCCCAAGTTGCAACCTAGAAGAATTATACATTATAAGCCCTCGATAACTCATACCCTAAATTCCTGTCCCTTCCGATCTGCCCAGGATGCTGTCGAAGATGGAAAGCACGCAGAATGCCTTGGAGGCATGCCAGGATGCAATGCAGGAGATCTATTGTGCCGGAGCTGTGGAGGGATATTCGAGAGAGCCCTCCAGTAGCACTAGTGTTATGCCCAGGTTGTGAAGGGTTTAGGGTTTATAGGGATAGTGTTTATAGGGTTCATAGGGTTTAGAGTTCAGGGATTCGGGTTGATTGAAAATAAGGCAAGAGGATGAGCTCATCAAGCAGTACAAGACCCTTCGCAAACTGCTGCTTAGCTAAACACCCGAAGCAATCGTGTTTGTGCAAGGCCCATGCAGGAACACCCGAGAACTCAGGGCCATCGAATCTTCGGCTTTCGAGACCAGATCCAAAGCTGCTATGCCGAAACGCCGTCCTGCTGCTGATGCCAAGCCGAAAGCCACACCCAAGAAGGTTTCATCCCCTGCTGGACCCGCTGCCAAGCCAAAGGCCGAGGCACCTGCTGGTCGCAAGACCGGGAAGCAAGCTGCCTGAGGCTAAATGCCATCTCAGGCTTCTTTTTGGAGTCGCCCGGTTTTTGATGTGTGTCGGGCGGGATTGGGACTCAAGAGGGCTCTGGTCTCAAAATACTTTATGTCTTTAGGTGCACCGGCAGCCTACTAACTTCAGCATGTCATACAGTCTTGTCTGCAACCCAGAAGCCCAACATGAGCTTTTAGAAAGTCTTCTTATGAGGACTCCTCAAAGTCGCACCTGTCATCGCGACACGGACTTCAAGTGCTGCTGTGTGTGCAGAAGAAAAGAAGTCCTCTATGGTCCAGCTTATCTGACTCGCATTGTGTGCAAGGGGATAGTCCGAAAGTGTTTGAGAATGCAAACATCCCCAGGCGCAGGTCCGGGACCTACGGCACGGGAACTGATCCATGCCCTTGGAAATGGAGCTACCTGGCCTCATGAGTCTGATAACTCCGAGCCTAGCCCTAAACCCTGTTTATATGTTGCCCGGATGTCGACAACTCCATACCCGATTCTAACCCCTAAACCCCTAAAACGAACAACCCAAAACCTTCGATCAGGCCTAGACAACCCTGCTTCAGCCTCATCGATGTCCCAGCCTTCCACCCTGTGTAGCATGACTCGGTCCTATTCTCATCATGAACCCTACAGAAACCCTAAAGGCTTCTCCAAAAAAAAAGCGCCAAATCTGCACTCTGGACCCTACAAAACCATAAAGGCCTACAAAGCCGATAACCCCAACCTGAACCCTAGGGAAAACCTCTAAAGCCGAATACCCAGAGCCTCAAACACAGCAAAACCTTGAGCCGATAACCCCCAACCTGAACCCTAGGGAAACCTAAAGCCGAAAAACCTAAAGCCTGCACCACAGCACAACCTTAAGCCGAGCCCCCAACCTGAACACGAGCAAGCCCTTTTACACCCGACAGCCCTAAACCAGAACCCTAGAAAACCCGAAAGCCGATAACACCATACCTGAGCCCGCCCAAAGCCGATAACCCCAAACCTGAACCCGAGAAAGATTTACAACAGCTGAGAGCCCCATGGCTGATCCCTGGGAAACCTTATAATAGCTCCTAGCCCTTAACCAGAACCCAAGCTAGATAAGTCTGGTGTAGGTGTGTCTGGATCGGATATATATGTATATATTCATACATAGCAATGTTATGTAAGGTTCACTGAAGGCCCAAGCCACAGTCTTCCTGGTTTTACTAAACCTGATATACTGTACCCTGCATAAGAACAATCTTAAGACCCGAATGCTAACCCTTGAAACCGTAACCAAATCTGTCTGCAGGCTCCGGCTGCACGCATCGTCCGCCTGGCCAAGGCCATCGAGGAGGAGCAGCCAGGCATCCTTGGCGGCATCAGGCTGATTAGCAAGCTGGATCTACCGAAGGGGGAGCAGAGGCTCCATGCACTGGCAAAGCTATGGGGCATGACTGTGCCAGTACCCATACGGGTCTACAGCAGTCGAAACGTCTGCCAACCGATGGTTCAATTGACACAATGGTTTAACTTTCTGTTATATCAGAAGCCTGAAATCTTGTTGGGTGGATTCTCTGTTGAGCATCCTCATTGCTCGCTACTTTTGGAATCATTCTGGCGAGCATACCAGCATGAGCAGCCTACACACATGGTCTTTCGGCGGCATCCTGATGAACTCTCCAGGTGCATCCCTTACATGCTGTTTGGGGACGAGGGAAGGTCCCTCCGGAAGAGTCCAATACAAATCGTATGCCTGGAGACTGTTTTTGGCCAGGGCACTTTCGACAACTATGAGGAGCTATGCAAACAAGGCAAGCAGGTGGATGCCAGGGCCATGCTGGGTACAATGGTTCACACTGGGAAAGGCTCCTCCTTTCTGTCCCGACTTTTGCTTTATGCCCTCCCTCATGCCTTGTACCGTTCTGACTCCGATGTGAGCTACAAGCAGTTTTGGTATGACTGCATGGATCAAGTTGCCAGGGCTGCTATCCGAGTTTTCGAGGAAGGCATCCCTCACCGGCTGGGCACATTCTATGGTGTTTGTGTTGGCTTCAAGGGGGATGCCCCTTTCCTGGCGAAAGCTGCCAAGCTCGGGAGAACCTTTATGTCTGTGGGCGGGCACAACAAGGGCATTTGCCCATACTGCGAGGCCGGGACAAGACACTAGGCTCGATTGGCATGCTCTTTCTGTTTTCGTCCATATAATGGTCTGAAGTTGTCCTCGCCTAGAGGATTTGTAGGGTTTGCAGGGTGTGGACACCTTAACCCTAAACCCTATATACACCCTAAACCCTATATATCCCTAAACCCTATAAACCCCTAAACCCCTAAACCCCAAACCCCTAAACCCATAAACCCTAGACACCCTAAGCCCTTATAAACCCTAATCCCTAAATCCTAAGTACCCCTAAAGCCTAGCTAATGTTAAAACCATTAAGTTTCCGAGTTTTGGGCCTCATGGGCTTCGCGACATACTCCAAAGGAGGAGCGCCGAATCTCGAAGCTTCCGAGCCCCGTATAGGCCTCAATGCCCCAAAGTGTTTTATGTAAATAAGCACATCTTATCAGGATTGCCTTGGGCACCAACCACTTGTGCAAACCTCGGGATAGGATCAATGAAATCAAACAACCCCAAACCTTAAACCCATAAACCCTATAGTCCCTAAACCCTAAATACCCCTAAACCCTAGCTAATGGTAAAACCATTAAGTTTCCGAGTGTTGGGCTTACACTGAATCTCCCTCCTTCCCTCCCTCCATTGACTCCCTTGAACATAAAACCTACATCACCCTGAAGCCTACGAGACCCGTCTAGGCAATGCCCCAAAGAGTTTATGTGCATAACCACATCTTATTAGGGTTGCCTTGGAAACCAACCACTATTGCAAACCTCGGGATAGGATCAATGAAATCAAAAATAAAATAAGATCAAGGAAATTAAGAAAAATAAGGATCAATGAAATCAAAAATAAAATATGATCAATGAAATCAAAAATAAATAAGGATCAATGAAATCAAACAATCAAGCAGGTCCTGACCTACCCTGGGAAGATGTGGGGCCAGAGCCTTGCTGGGTGTCCAGCATAGGGCGGTCGAGGCCATGGAAACCGAGGGAATATTCTGCCGTGAGATCGATTCCTTTTACAACCGCTTCGCCCGAACAACTGCTGCAGCCAGACCTCTTCCACACGGTGAAGCTCGGCATAGCCCGGCATTTTGCCGGGTCCTTCCTGGTGCTGGTGGCTCACTGGGGCTACTTCTTCGAAGCTGGGAAAAATAGCTTTCCTGATGTGCTGGCAAGGATGTATACTGACTTTAAAGCTGCATGTGCAGAGATGCGGCTCACGCCGAACATCAAGGGCTTCACCAAGGACACTTTCCACTTTTCCAACTTCGAAAGCTGGCCCTGGGCCGGCTGGAAAGGATCAGACACTCTTCTGGTTCTCCGCTGGATGATCATGCTGCTCAGGCATGGGTGCTGGTCTGGTGGTGCAAGGAGGTCTCCGTGGCTGCAGCACCCGCGAGAAGCCGATCATGGACCGGTGTTCAAAGCTGTTCATGATGGATGCTGTGCGATCTTGACTTTGTTTCAGGTTGCCCAGAAGCAAGGTATATGGCTGCACCGGAATTGGGCTGTCCGGCTGCATTCCTCCATCGACCTGTTCTGCTCCTCGTACAAATATTTAGCTGGTCTATTCTTCACGCGAGGCCTGAACAGGTTCCACCTGGAGCCAACTTTGCATCAGCTCAAACATTTTAGCATCCGCATCCAAGAACAGCTGGCCAACGAAGACGTCGAGGTCATCCAAAACCCTGGGATGTACATTTGCGAGATGAGCGAGGACTTCGTTGGACACGTCTCCCGAGTAAGCAGACGTGTGGCTGCTCGGAGCTGCGGTCTCCGGACACTCCAGAGGCACTTGATCAGAGTGCACATGTTCTGGGCGGCAAAAAATCGAAGCAGCTGAGAGCGAGTGCTCCCGATCCCGAGGCTCCCGAGGCTTGCTCACCAACCCGAGGGCTATGATTGGGGTATCTCCATTTAGGGTCCTTATAGCTCTACTTATAACCTACTTACTAAGTCCCCTGGACCTCCAAGCAGTCCCTTGAGACTTTAAGAAGCCCGAAGCAGCCCTGAAACCCTTCATATCCTGCCGAGAGTCATCCCCATGGCCATCGAAGCCAGCAAAGCAACTTTCAACACTGCTTGAGTTCAGGGGCTCCAGGGTTCTCATTTTCGGAAGGCTGATTTGGGTTTGGGGGCTTCAGTGCAAGACTTCGTCGGCTGATTCTACAAAGGTAGCATCTTCAACACACGAATCAGCACATCGGCTGATACTGAACCAAGAAAACATTGAGGCTGAAATAACAGCACGAAAGGGAACTCCAGGTAATTCCTAAACCCTAAAAGCCATTGAAGCTTCTTATACGAGGTACTATTCCACCTTGCCAACAAGGAACCCTGAAAACTTGGTCTGACACATGTCAAGCACCGAATTATCTGCAACTCGAGATGCCAACCTGCCTCTGTCAGGGCTGGACTAGAATCTACGAGTCTATCGCTTGACGCTTGTTTGACTGTTGTACTCTGAGCACCAATATGTTACATATTTCGGTGAAATGGCGGGCAGAGTTCTCGGGGTTGGGGCTGCATTGGTTTCAGAATCTTAGCAATTTGGGGACCTACATCCGAGATTAGGCAAGTATTTAAGTGTTGTATGCGGCTCTTTGCGATCAGTCTGCTAGCCGGCTATTGCCAAGAGAGCAGCCATTCATGTCACCGTTATTTCCGTTCTTTTTCTTCTACTACGACGACCATGTCTCGCAGCAGTAGTAAGTAGTAGTTCGCCGCCGTAGTAGCCGCAGTCACAGTAGTTGCCGTCGTCAAAAGGTGGCACTGGCGGCGGCAGTGGTCCTAAAGATGCTATAGACCTTGGGGTGCTACAGCTTCAAACGCAGCCTCCTGTGGCACGTTGAACATCCACGCTGCCTCGGGCAAAATAATTAACGTACCAGGGGCCAAAATAATTACAGAACGGGGACTTGGGGTCTCCTTATCATACTCATGGTACAATCTACCCAAAAAGCCCTATTCTAAGATTTAAGGCCCCTGTATTATTCTTTTCACCCGGAATGTTGATTCCTTCGTGGGCCTGAAGAGCCCCGAAGCTCCCAGAAGCGGTGGAGGGTAGCCAAAAAGCCTTGGGTAGGAGATGATGGGAGCATGCTAGGGTTTAGGGTTTAGGGTTGAGGGTTTAGGGTTGAGGGTTTAGGGTTTAGGGTTGAGGGTTTAGGGTAGTTTCATCAGAGCCAGCCGCAACCCCAAAACCCATCACGCTTATAACCCAAAACACACTCTAAGGGAGAATTTCGTGAATGACTTCGGGCGCAAGCCCTTCCGCAGCAATGGCATGGCCTTAGAAGGCAGGTGCTCCAGCGCTGCGAGTGAAAATCACAAAGAATCGCAGGCTGTCGGGGCTTGAGGGGTATAAGGTTTATTTAACAGGGTTTAAGGGTTTGGGGTTTAGTTGAAAAAGACCTTCTGTGTACCGTAAGAATTGTTGTATATGGCCTCTAATGGTAGCCAGTAAGGTCTAGGTAGGGCTGCGGGCCTGGCAGCCCTTCGCGCACATGCTCCACGGACCTAGGGTTGAGGGGTTCAGGGTTTCGGGTGCAACACTGTACTTGCTGGCCTCGTCTATTGTGCCTCGCATGCAACTTGCTGATGTTGCAGGTAGTGTGAAGTGAAAGTAAGTGCTCTCGGACAAGGAATCGGGCCTACGTATGCAGGATCGCTCGTATTCCAACCCTAAACTCTAAAATTTAAACCCAATGAAGCAAAAAAACATATAACCCTAAACCCAATACTCCCGCCCCGACTGCCTGGAGGGTGTTCAGCGCTCGCTGCAATTGGCTCAAGCATTCTGCCGGTGAAGCTTTCGGTCCTCTGCCGTTTCTGCATTCAGAAGGCGGGTTGCCCCAAACTCAACCAAAAAACCCTAAACCAAAAACCTTTACAAGTAGGTAAATTAGTGGCCCAGACCGATACAGGGCTATGATTCTACATACGTTTAAGAAATTTTGCCAATCATGAATGACATCTTCACCACCACCATAATCATAATCATACCACATACTCATAAATACAAGCCATCATAGTCATAATCATAACAGCAATCATAAATATAGCCAGAAGAACACGAATGCTGCTAAGAGTCATCATAATACTAGTAGTCATCGCAACAATAATACTGCAAGCCTTACACGGCGGCTCGGGAGGCCTCTTAGAGTTTTAAAGACGACCAGCAGGTGGAGGAGTCGGCAAAGTTCAACCAACAGCTCTGTTGGTCGGTACCGGCCGGCCGTAGACCTTACCCTGGGTTCTTGTCAAGGACTTGTGTTTAAAATACCGTAATCACATTGGTTTTCCAATTCCCCACCTTTAATTTGTTGGGGTTCTTATACTAATGTAGTAGTAATCTGAAAGTTTAACTTCTTGTTTTGTTGCTTTATGGGAAGTAAGTCAGGAAGCCCTTTTGAGCATGGATCCCTCTTCTGGTAACTTACCCTATAAACCCCGAAAACCCTAAGCCCTAAACCTAAACCCCTAAACCCTACTCCCCTAAACCCTAAACCGCTAAACCCTACTCCCCTAAACCCTAAACCGCTAAACCCTAAACCCCTAAACCCTAAACCCTTAAACCCCTAAACCCTAAACCCTAAGCCCTAAACCCAAAACCCCTAAACCCCCCAAACCCTAAACCCTAAGACCTAAGCCCTAAACCCTAAACCCCTAAGCCCCTAAACCCTAAACCCTAAGCCCTAAGCCCTAACCCTAAACCCTATAGCTCAATGAGCTGAGACTTGAGGTGACGTTCATCATGGCCGTGCTGCTTGGCTGCAAGTACCGGCGCTCGACGTATGGGAGCTTGGGAAAATCAGGCACCCCGAGATAGACCCTACTTGGGTTTAGGGTTTAGGGATTCCTCGTTTCAGGATCCCTAAACACCCTAAAACCCTTAACGGGGTATCCCACGTTCTTGTCATTTATGTCCCGGGCCATGTACATTCGCACGGACGCTTAGGCCGGAGGTTGCTCGTCTTAGGATTTCTTTGGACTGTCCAAACCCACAGGGTCCTAGGTACTGTGATGTCGGAAACTTTCCCAAATAATAATAGCAAGGATTTCAATCATAGAAACCCTAAGCCCTAAAACCTAAATATGTTTGGTCCTTCGGAACCTTTGGGGTTTGACGGGTGTGGGATATCACGCGAGTTTTTGGATGGTGTCTATCATGGACTGTAATATATACTGCTTCAATAAAGGGCTTATGGTGTCTATCATGGACTGTAATGTATACTGCTTCAATGAAGGGTAATTAATGTAATAAAGGGTTTATGGTGTCCATCATGGACTGTAATGTATACCGGTTCAATAAAGGGTTTCGGGGCCTACTTGGCGTAGATTAAGGGCTTGTATTTTTGATTTCCAGGCGTGTTCGATCGGTGCTGCAGCCAGAATCAGAGAACGAAGTGTGTGACAGCTGGGATTGAAGGCAAAGGGCTTTCACAGCGTGCTTTAGGAATAGAGATTCGGGCCACGAGCCCTGGCTCCACGTATGCAAAGAGCAGCTACGGTGCGAGGTCTCAAGTCTACGAGTGCTGCCAAGGGTTCTATAAGGGCTCCTTAATTAAAAGCTTCCCTACCCAAAGCGTGCTAAGCAGCTATATCGTAGAAAGTTCGGTCTTTATTTTAGGGTTTGTTGTTATGCTTTGAGATAGCATCACCCATAACATTACCTGGGACCCTTCCGATTCCCGGGGCGGCTCTGTCAGTTCAGCTGTTTGAGCTGGTCGGAGCCGCCGGGGATGCTATTCCCTGAGGCCTAAACTCCTAAACCGCTTAAACCCGCAACCCAAAGCTCTGGACCTTGAACCCCGAAATAGAAACCTGAGCCAGAAACGCAGGGTTTCCATTAGGGCTCTTTATGTGAATGCTGATATTCGTGGGTTACAGGGCCAGGGTTTCTTAAACGGGTTGTACATTAAACAGCTAAATCCCTAACCTCCGAAACCCTAAACCCACTGTGCACACAAGCTGCCCTAAACTAAACCCTAAACCTCAAACTGTAAACCCTAAACCCTAAACCGTAAACCCTAAACCCTAAACCGAGGATCATCCGCTCCGCAGTCGCTCTCCTGGTCGCGCACCTTGCCGCCGCGCCACTCGAAGACGTGAACGACTGAAGGGTAGGACTTTATTTTTATGTTTAGGATCCGTTAATAAGAAACTAAGGTAACCAAGAAAGGTACTACATTTAAGGGTCTAGGTAAGGCGACTTTCGGCTCGTTTAGGGTGTAGGTTGTAGGGTTTTGGGACCCTGGCTACCGAAACCTAGTTTTTTTGGGTAGGGTCCCTCTAATCTCTAATACCAGGGCTTCTACACAGGGCTTACAGCAAAAATGCAGGTGAATTGTGGTAGTTACAAGGTAGGCTTTAGAGTTTAGGGCTCAGGGTTTAGGGCTTCGGCTTTGGGGGGGGTTAGAGTTTCTTTACCCCGATAAAACCTGTCTTTTTCGGGTGTTCCTTATTATGGTTTCTTTATATAAGTCCTTAAACAGGTAGGTTCTTTGGGGTCCAGGTAGGTCCTAAACCGGTTCGGGCTCAGGGGCTTTCTGGGCGAGTCTGGAGTGCGTGGGCTTTCGGGCAGACCCGAAGGGTCCAGGTTTAGGGTTCCTTTAATTTAAGGGTTCCGAAGTAGCTAGATAGTAGAATGTAGGGTTTCTATATTTGGAGGTGGTATTATGATTGGGGAGAGCATCCCCCCAGAACAGTACCTAGGACCCTTTGGGAGAGAGCTCCGTAGCATGGACACAGGGGCCGGAATAGTTGGTGGAGGGTCTAGGGGTCAATGTAGACCTTAAACCTGAACCCTAAACCGCTAAACCCTAAACCCTCAACCCTAAG